AACCTACGTATATAAATTAGTAGGAATTTTTTTTTCAGCAATGTATAATGCATTTACTTAATGTTATAAATAATAAACCTTTCTAGTGTCAGTGAAATTATTTTAAAAATTCACTGGAAGTTGGCGGAGCTGCCATCTTAAGTGAGGTTACACTACATTTTGGCATTCCAGGAAGCTGCTCGTGGATGAGAAGTGAGAATATATGGGTTTTTAACCTTTTATGAATGTAAGCACATACAGGTGAAACTCGAAAAATTAGAATATCGTGCAAAAGTTCATTTTATTTCAGTAATGCAACTTAAAAGGTAAAACTAATATATGAGATAGACTCATTACATGCAAAGGAAGATAGTTCAAGCCGTGATTTGTCATATTTGTGATGATTATGGCTTACAGCTCATGAAAACCCCAAATCCACAATCTCAGAAAATTTGAATATTGTGAAAAGGTGCAATATTCTAGGCTCAAAGTGTCCCACTCTAATCAGCTAATTAAGCCATAACACCTGCAAAGGGTTCCTGAGCCTTTAAATGGTCTCTCAGTCTAGTTCAGTAGGACTCACAATCATGGGAAAGACTACTGACCTGACAGTTTTGTGCAGAAAACCATCATTGACACCCTCCATAAGGAGGGAAAGCCTCAAAAGGTAATTGCAAAAGAAGTTGGATGTTCCCAAAGTGCTATAGTGCTATAGCCGGCAGCGCTGATCAGTGTATTCTGACAGAGGGGAAGTCTCCCCACTGTCAGAATACAATAGCTCAGAGAGGAGGATTTAGCCATCCATATCAAGGGTGTGGATGGGGGAATCGAGTCAGTTTTTTTCGTTCAGTCCGCTGACTGAACTAAAAAATTTGACTCATGTATGGGCTGCTTGTGACCCAGTACAATTTGTAATGCAACAGACGTGGTCAGGCACAAGCCCTCCCATTCTATTCAATACAACTCTCTGTGAGAAAGATTGTGTTTAGGATGTGGACTGTTACTCAACTCTGCCAATACACAGCATTGCACTATTAGGGATGAAATCAACAGTTTGGTTGTGAGGAAAAAAATTTTAAAGCATGTGTTACAATTTTTGGCACAAATCATAAAATGCAGGGGGTACAGGTCTATTATTTTAACGTGGAACTTAAATCTCTCAATCAACTTTGACTATTTTGAATCCTTATGCTGCTAGCATTAGTAAGTAGATAAGCAGCTATATCATATTTACTTGTTTTAAGCTGTTTTTACATTTCTTTATTTACTTCCTAGTTTCCATGCCTAGGTAAATGATGTCATGCATCCCATGAGTCTTCAGGAGGGGTTTTCTCAGCTAAGCACACCTTCCTGCCTGTATGCCTGAGGTAAAGGCAGATGGATTCCAGGAAGAAATTGCTACATGAATCATCTGCCCTTACTCAAGATGGCCATGACAAGAAATGCTAGTGGGTGTTTTTCTAAGTACTTTCTCAGCAAAATAAATCATGGAGTCATGAATAGATGGGTGAGTTTGCTTTGAATATTAAAAATGAATTAAATAGAGCTTTTGGTTTCTAGTGCTCAGATACAGTGTAGTTCCACTTTAATTCAGATCTATTAGGTAATTATACTTTGCAAGTTAAGTATTATAAAAGGATATAATAAAAGCCTGACATGTCATAAAAAACATTCCACCTTACATGTACCTATTATTATTTTAAGCTGAGTACTTACTCTGTCTTTATGAGAATATCACTGTTCTTGGGATCTAGTACACACTTACAGATGAGCTCCTGAGTAACTGGGATTGCTATATGATTAGATACACATAGATCTGAAAGATAATCTAGAAACCTGGAAGTAAAAGATGTGTATAAACAAATGAAAATTGAAAAATATACGCAGTTTCTAAATCTTCAAAAGACCTCATGCCTTTACATTGACAAATATGAATCAATATATTTTCCCCACTCTTGTTTGTTGGTGGTATGATGTGTCAGTTTGCAGAGAATACTCCATGGGATACTGCAAGATGAACACTGCATGCATTTTATAAATTACCCAACTTTAGGATCTAGAGTGGATACCGAACAGTATTTGGTTTTCTCAATAAATCAGACCCATAATCTGTGTTTGCCTTGAACACTCCTTTGTCAAATTAAGTGATAATTATTTCTTCAGTGAACAAAATTATACATATTTCTGCTAATTTGTATAAATAACAAATAATTTATCAAATGTAACAGACTGGAAAACAATAAATCAAGCATATGGAAACGTTTGGGCACCCTGTCAGTCAGTAGTAGGATAACACCTTCTCTGTCAGAAGTCTACTGAATCTATGTTACTTCATGCTTCAAGATTTTGGTTACTTTATTTTCACATAACAGCTAAAAACATGTAATTTAAGCAGTGCTGAAAATGTTGCTTCATCCTCAAATTATATGGAAATCCATCTATTACAAGCAGACTTTGGGGTTATAGTCTGTACAGCCAATCTAATAGGATTAATTAGCTATTTTGACAGTTACTGAATCCAAAACAAAATACAGCACTAAGCTGCTGTTCTTTCTATTTATTTATAGCAAAACATATTGCTTTTGCCTGTGTTTCACTGATCCTAAAGTCAACCTGACAACCTGGAACGTCCAACCTGATCATCTAAAGTAAAAAAAAACACATATGCACTAAAAATACTATGGGGTTGATTTATTGAAACTGGAGAGTGCAAAATATGGTGCAGCTGTGCATGATAGCCAATAAGCTTCTAACTTCAGCTTGTTCAATGACAAGAAAAAGTGGAAGTTAGTTTCTATGCAGAGCTGCACCAGATTTTGCACTCTCCAGTTTTAGTAAAACAACCCCCCATTATGTCAACACATTCAGCAGATCCAGAGATGAAAAAGGCTGATATTTATATGCTAACCTTAAATTTTCCTGTAAAAGAAAAGTTTGGACCAACAGGGAAACTCAGGAGGCAAGAGGGTGCAGAGCCAAACTAATTTTCACAGAAAACGTTGAGATCTGCATATAGCTTCCCTATCTCTCTGGATGAGTTCATTCTGAAATGTAGATTGCACTAAAGGTAACTTCTGTTTATGAATTTTTTAATCATGTGCCCATTATATATAACCTAACTCTGTGACAGGCACATATAGAAAATACTATGGAAAAAAACTATATCATATAATTAATTCTTCTCTGAAAAATAAAAACAGAATCAGACTTAAAAGAATCTCTCCATATAGCAAAGGTGACTTACCGAGGTTCACGATTTTTTCTCACAAGGCTAACAAATGTCTCTACCTCAGTTTTTGTGATGTGTTTCTCCAAAAGTTTACGATTGTTGTGTAACAGGGCAGTAATAGTGTCCTCTGCTAGAATGTCATAGCCAATTTGAGACTGCATGACACCAAACTGCTTGGCTATGTGTTCCTACAGTGAAATAACAAGGAAAAACAGTACAGGGTAAAGTAGGTTAAGTAACGGATCCTAATAAGGAACATATTTATGAAGGTTCTACCCGAGTGTTAAATTATTTTAATTAAAAATGTTAGAATAAGGAAAACGAAAATTGCCTCCTGTTTCCTACCAATGCTACCAGGAATGCCGATTGCTATTACCATGGCAAAGGGGCTACAAGTGTGTATTCTGTACTGCTGATCAGAGTGAGTATTTCCTTCATTACTGGGGGGTACTTTTGGGATCAGACCCCAAAAAAAGAAGTACCTCACCTAAAGCAAGGTAAACGGGCGCACATCTTTTGTAATAAAGAAGCATATGTAAATCCTTAACTGCTGAGCCAGTGCAATATGTAATATGAACAATACATTTCCATAACAAATCTTTTCCTTTCCAATATTTTGATTATTATTAGAAACAAAATTACACATACAGTAAGCAAACATGCATACTTTAATATGTTTTCTATCATAAACATGTGGTTAACAATGTTTTCCTTGAGGACAACAATTACACATATCTGGGTTCGCTTCTGCAACCTGTTACATTTCTTCACTACAGGAACACAGGATAATCTCAGTAACTCAACAAAACCCAAATATTCATGTAAGATAATGATGAAAGAGGGAAAGAGAAAAGAAAGAAGATATAATAATATGAAGTGAATCACACCCCTCTGTTAATCCTGCAAGTCCAACCTTTAGAACTGGTCATTATTCTCCACATATATAATGTACCCCTGGGTCTCACTTTTTTTTCAAACAGATGTATTTTATTGTTCAGAGTGGCTAATCATTTTTCATATACCATTAACCATGATGATTTTGCATGCAGTAGCACGAACAGTATAGACAAAGATTTCCAGGATCAAGCACTTGCTATCCTTGCAGCTAGAAATATAAACAAGATTCATTTTATTGTATGTCTCGTTGCCCCCCTCTATTGGTTGACCCAGTAAGCAAATCTTTTGAATTCCTTTGGAAAATGCAATGATTCCTCAATTCAGCTTTGCATACGTATAATAGTGCATCAAATGTGATAAATACATATCATGAGGAATACAGAAATGATCATTAAAGAACAAATGCTCTCCCCCCCCGACAGCCTGGGCCTATGCTGATAGGTGGTCCTGGCGCTCCTGAAACCTTGATTCTGTTTTTGTCTTCACTTACTTTTCCCTCCCTCTTTTCTTTTCTGTTTATGCCTGGTCTCTGTGAGGCGGTCTATACCTGTCCTTGGTTTTTGTTTTACTGTTGGTGCTTATTTCACTGTTTTTGCCTTATGTGCCATTGAAAGCCCCTACGTGGGCGAGCCTTATGCTTATGTTTTTCATATGTTTAAAAATTAATAAAAACCATTGAAATACAAACAACAAATGCTGACAAATGCTAGTGAATGTCACTCAACCCAGGGAATCTGCATGCAAACCTGCCCAACAAATGTGCCTTACAAATACAGCAAATATCTCCATGTGTAACAAATGTGTTTATAAATACTCCTGTGTAGCATGTTTATTAGATATGTAGTTCCCATACCTGATTCTTCCTGTAATCATCTTGAGAATGACGTAACACCCGATAGCACAGTCTAAACATATACTGATATGGAGCATTTTTCTGGTCAGAAAGTTCTTCTAGTCTGAGTAATGGTCCCTCACCATTTTTGTCCTTGAATGGAGCCTTTAGGATACCAAATATCTGAAAAAAGAGGTTTCAATGCAGAAAATGGGAAGAAAAATTCAGCTAATCTTTTCTGAAAAGAAAAAGTTTAGCTACAGATACTATTTAAATCCCAAGCACAGCTGTTAATATTAAGTAAAACAAATTTAACATGAGATAAAAAAAAATCACCCATCACTCAAGAAGGCAAGGAAGAACATAAAATATGAATAAGCTGCACAGCTCAAAGAAACCTGTTAATCTACTGCAGAAATTAATTTCCAAAATAAAAAAGTGAAAAAAAGCAGAAATGGTACTAGCAAATAACAAGAGAAGCACATCACTGACTAGAGATACTCAATTTCCCTTTCTTCCTCTTAATTATATTAACCTGCTTAAGTATGTTCTGCTCTCTCATGAGCTTCTGCCGTTCTCGGTTTGGTTTGGTGATTGTTACATCTAGCACATTTTGACCATTATTGGGAACATCCACTACAAAGAAAACCAGATCTTCTAAAAGCTTGATGGCAAACCTACAGAAGAAAAAGAAAAGGTCCATTACCTTGCAGTACCGAATTTTACTCTAAGTATGTTACATAAATTAGATGTGCATAAATTAAATACAATTTATGTCAATTTTCTCATGCTGTGTTCTCAAAGGTTTACTTATACACACTTACAATAAATGTCTTATTTTAAAAAAGCTTTCTAGTACACTAGAAAAGGCAGTAATTTAAATGTAAAGTAAAACAATAAAAATAGTATACTTTTTACACATGGCTCGGGTACCTTGAACAAAAAGTCACTGCTTTGTTCTCCCCAACCTACTGTGTACAAAGGAAGTAATCAATGTATCAGCAATGTAATAAAGCAACTTCATGAGTATACCTACAAAACATGATTCTTGATGGAACACGAAAGGTTTTGGTAGACATATGCAATATTGGGTTAAAGGTCACTATTCACACCAGTAACAAGGTCATGGGTGCAAAACATTCTAGACACTTTCATACTGCAGTATGACAAAAGCTACAGCAATACATAAAAGGGGTTGTTATATTGCACAATGAAGCAAACCATGTAAACAGTTTACATGTGATCACACCATTTTCTAAAATGTTATAGTAGTGTTTTCTTCTTGGAACATCACACCCAGATTTCCAACAGTTGAATAAGGTTTGTTGCTCTCATTACCCATGCAATCAATAGGATTGCAAAAAGCAAACTGAGGCAACTCAGAAACAGTTTGAAGCAACTTAAAGGCAAATTAAAGCAATTCAAATGAAAGTCAAAGCATCTTAGAAGACCTTAAAAGCATAACACATCTGATTCACTTCTAATTCTTAGGCCCCATTCACACTTGCAAATGGGGTAATTTATGGTTAGCTGCTGGAGACCTAGTGGTGAGCGATTACATGTGATCGGCCACAAATAGCTGCAGGAGCTGTCAGTCTGCTTTGAATGGGGCTTCCTTGCCACAGTTAATCGCTTCACTAGGTCTCCTGCAGCTAATCGCAAATGGTCCAATTCGCAAGTGTGAATTGGGCTTAAAAGTGGTTGTAAAGGCTAAAGGTTTTTACCTTCATCCCATTCTATGTCAGAAGGTAAAAACCTTCTGTGTAAACCACCCCTCCCGATACTTACCTGAGCCCCCTCCCGATAAACCAATGTGCACAAGAGCAGCAGCTCTCGTAGGAATCTCCCTCCTCACTGGCTGAGACAGCAGTCAATCACAGTCAGTGAGCCAATGAGGAGAGAGTCAAGTTCTGTGTGTGAATGGATATGCAGAGCAGTGGCTTGGGAGCGAGTCTGCTTGCTATGGGGCACTTGGCCGGAGGATCAGGGCTGCTCTGTGCAATGTTTTTGCAGTGGATACAGTGGGGGAAATAATTATTTGATCCCCTGCAGATTTTGTAAGTTTGCCCACTTACAAAGAAATGAAGGATCTATAATTTTTATCATAGGAGTATTTTAACCACCTCCTGCCCGCCATATAGTCCAATGATGGGCGCAAGGTGGTTCTCTCGTTCTGGGAGGACGTCATATGACGTCCTCCCATTCTCACTGCGTATGCGTAGCTCAGGGAGTGCACAGCGCGGCGATCGGCGGTGCGCTGTGTCCCTCGGACACAGCGGATCATCGATCATGGAAAAAGCCGAAGATGTAGGCTCGGTCAGGTGATCAGCTGTGTCCAATCACAGCTGATCTCATGTAAATAGGGAAATGCCGGTTATCGGCATTTCTCTCTTCTCGAGCAGTCGCGCTGACAGCTCGAGAGGAGAGGAGAGCCGGTAATCGGCTTTCCGCGGAGGGACATGTACACTGATCATCAGGGCACTGATGATCAGTGTGCCCTGATGATCAGTGTAGCCCCAGCAGTGCCACCTGTCAGTGCTCATCAGTGCTTCGTGCCAGTGCCCATCAGTGCCACATCAATGCCACATATCAGTGCCTCCCAGTGCACATCAATGCCACATATCAGTGCCCATCTGAGCTGCCTTTCAGTGTCACCCATCAGTGCCAGTCAGTGCCACCTATCAATGCCAATCAGTGCCACCTACCAGTGCTGCCAATCAGTGCAAGTCAGTGCCGCCTATCAGTGCACATCAGTGCCACCTATCAGTGCCTGTCAGTGCCCCTATCAGTGCCAGTCAGTGCCGCCTATCAGTGCCGCCTATCACTGCTGTGTATCAGTGCTGCCTTTCAGTGCCCATCAGTGATGCCTGTCAATGCCTATCAGTGCCACCTACCAGTGCCACCTATCAGTGTCTATCAGTGCAACCTATCAGTGCCCACCACTGCAGCCTCATTAGCGCATATCAGTGAAGGAGAAAAATCACTTATTTACAAAATTTTATAACACAAACTAAGAAAAAAAGTTTTGTTTTTTTTTCAAAATTTTCAGTGGTTTTTGGTTTGTTTAAGAAAAAATAAAAAACCCAGAGGTGATTAAATATCACCAAAATAAAGCTCTATCTGTCACAAAAAAATGGTAAAAATTTCATATGGGTACAGTGTTGTCATTCATGAAAGCTGGAAATTGGCCTGGGCAGAAAGGGGGTAGAAGTGCCCTGTAGGCTAGCGGTTAAACAAAAGAGACAAAATAACAAGCAAAAAATATAAACTGAGTTTCAGTTCAGTGAGTAAAAAAGTATTTGATCCCCTACCAACCAACAATTATTTTGGATCCCACAGATGTGCTCATAAAGTACACAGATTAGTCCTGTCAATTTAAGAAGGTGCTCCTAATGACAAATCCTTATGTATATAAAAGACACCTGTCCACAGAATCTCTTTCTTCCATTCAAACCTCACAATGGACAAGACTAAAGAGCTGTCAAAGGACATCAGGGACAAGTTTGTAGATCTGCACAAGGCTGGCTTGGGCTACAAAATCCTCAGCAAGAAGCTTGGTGAGATTATTTGCAAATGGAAGAAATACAAAATAATCATCAATCGCCATCGGTCTGGAGCTCCATCCAAGATTTTGCCTCATGGGGTAAGGATGATCATGAGAAAAGTGAGGGATCAGCCCAGAACTACATGGGAGGAGCTTGTGAATGATCTTAAGGCAGTTGGGACCACAGTAACAAAACAAACCATTGAAAACACAATATGCTGCCATGGACTGAAATCCTGAAGGGCCTGCAAGGTCACCCACCTCAAGAAGGCACATGTACAGGGCCATCTGAAGTTTGCAAATGAACATAAATGATTCAAATTAGGAGTGGGAGAAAGTACTGTGGTCAGATGAGACCAAAATTGAGCTCTTTGGCATTACCTTGACTCGCCATATTTAGAGGAAGAAAAATGCTGACTATGACCCTAAGAACACCATCCTTACAGTCAAGCACCAGGGTGGAAACATTATGCTTTGGAGCGGTTTCTTTGCTAAAGGTACAGGCCAACTTTGCCATATTGAGGGGCCAATGGAAGGGGCCATGTATTGTAAAATTTTGGATGAGAACCTTCTTCCCTCTGCCAGAACACTGAAGATGGGTTGTGGATGGGTCTTCCAGCATGACAATAAATCAAAACATACTGCCAAGGCAACAAAGGAGTGGCTCAAGAAGAAGCACATTAAGGTCATGGAGTGGCCTAGCCAGTCTCTAGACATTAATCCTATAGAAAATTTATGGAGGGAGCTGAAACTTCGAGTTGCTAAGCAACAGCCAAGAAACCTTAAAGTATTGCTAAATCCACAACAGTAAAATCAGTCTGTACATGTAGTAAAGCATGCTTGTTAAACTCACTGTGGAACCTAAGGGGTTAATTCTCTGCATTGTGTAAAAAAGCTGTTTGATCCTTTCTTCTCTGCCAATCCTCTTGTTGAAATGTCCACCTGATACAGACTGAATCCATAGTCGCATGCACATGTTCAGTTTGGTGTGTATTGCTGGAGAGGTTTTTTTTGGGGGGAGGGTGCATGTGATCAGCACAGGGCCAATCAGCACTCTCCAGACAGAGGTTTCACATCCTCCTAGAGCAGAAAGAAAACTTCTCCTACAAGCTTTAAAATAATAGCATTTCCATGTTGTGTGTACTGTGGGAGACCAGATATAGTGAATGCAGGGCCCTGGGTTTAGTATCAATTTAAGGCTTTAGAGAAGATCTGGTCTTCTCTAAAAGAAGAGTGGTCCAAAGTCCCTCCTGAGATGTGTGCAAACCTGGAAACCAACTACAAGAGATGTCTTACCTCTGTGCTTGCCAACAGGGGTTTCTCCACCAAGTACTAAGTCATGTTTTGCTTGGGGACCAAATACTTATTTTACTCACTGAACTGGAACTCAGTTTATAACATTTGTATTATGTGTGTTTTCTGGATTTTTTGTTGATATTCTGTCTCTATCAGAATACGTGGTTTGTGTTCCCTGCCAGCCTCTGTATGCACACCCTTCATGGACGTGATGGCCGGCTGATGCACTCCGGAGCGACATGTGCCGTCATTCCGCCCAATGGGCGGGGCAGTGCCGCACGCGTCAAGGGATCACAATGAAGACACCGAGAGTAGATGCTGCTTGGCGGTTGTATGCGACATCACTACTTCTCACTCCACCATTGGCCAGCGGGGGCTCCAAAACCTTGGTAAAACCACTATGCAACATTATTTGGACTCTATGGGGTTGATTTACTAAAGGCAAATAGACTGTGCACTTTGCAAAGTGCAAGAGCAGTTGCTCCAGTGCTTAATAAATGAGCAAAAACTTTGCTGACTTCCATCATCCAATCATGTGCAAGCAAAAGTGTTTTTTTTTTTTTATTTTCCTTGCACGTGATAGGGTACTCTTTGCAAAGTGAATCTTTATCTCATTTACAAAGCTCTGGAGCAATTGCACTTGCATAGTGCACAGTCTATTTGCCTTTAGTAATCAACCCCTGTGTGTACTTGGTAAGCTCTTTTGGCATCTATAGGTTGTTTAATTGTTTTGACCTCTTACCTGCTTTTGCCCCCTTTCTGGCCTTATGTAATGTGACATATAGCTACCATTTTAACTATTCTCATCCTTTTCTATTTAATATAATTTCCATCTAT